AAACACCCTATCAATACAGGTTAGGGAATCTGGAGAAATGCTTGATGAGGCTTCATCTGCTGATCATTAGTAATAGCAGTAATGAGACAAACTCTATCACAAACATCCCAGCCTAACAACCCAATGTTGTCGTGGAAACACATTTGGTTAAAGGACGTGGTTATTAACCCAAAAACAAAAGTGAAAATGTTTAGCGCCTATAAGTTGAGAGAGCAACAGACCGACTACCAACATTTTAAAACTGTCTACACTAGGCTCTAGTTTCAGACTCCTCCCTATTATCAGCAGTAGGAACAGAGAGCATTTCTACTTTCCACTCAAATATGTTTGAAAATACATGGAGCCCACTTTTAAACCATAATAGATGATTTAAGAAATCTCTGCCTGTGACGGCTAAAACCCCCAACCCCTTTATTTATTTATAAATTATTTGTAGTTTTTTTTTATTTCTATATTTGTTCATTTTTATTAGATATATTTGATTTATTTATTTTATATATGTGTCATGATTCTTGGCAATAGTGCTGGTATAATTCATCATTCAATACGCCTGTGAGCTCCACCCCATTCCCAATCAGCCTCCATCAGATACAAATGCTGACCTGACTATGTAACCAGCTCTCAGACCTTTTACTAGTGCCATATTTAAAAGTATAGCCCACTTTTAAATCATATTAGATGATTTCAGAAATATCTGCCTATGCCAGCTAAAACTCCCAACCCCTTTATCTATCTATAACTTATTTATTGTTTTATATTAACATTTTTTAAGTCACATACATTTTATTTATTTATTCTCTATATGTATTATTTTTTGTATTTCATATTTCCTTCATATGCGCTGTGTCTGATTTTACATTAAATGAGGTCGTCCATTAGCCCCTTTATCCTGAGCTCCCCCTTTCAAGGGGCCTGGAGCTATTTTACACAATAATAAGCTTGTAGCTGATTAACTCTGACATTAAAACACATTTATCATATGTCCACATCTTCATCTGAGATTCCTCCACCAGACTATCTACTAATCTACTAATATCCACCAACAACGGCTTCAACACCATGCCAAAAAGCACTCAGAAAGAATGAACAACCAAGGGTAGGTGGGCCTGCAACAAAAAACATACAAACAACAAAAAAGTAACTCACAACGAAAGAAAACAAAAAACACAATAAACACAACCAAAACAAACTAACAAAAAAAACACCAATCACAACCAACTAACAAAAAAAAAAAACAAAAAAAAACCAAAAAAAAAAATGTAAAAAAAAACTAAATTTTAAATTGAAAAAATAAATTCCAAACTTCAGCATTTGTGCCAAACTGTTACAAAATGGCAAAATAAAGGTTTTCCTGGATTTTTATTCAATCTAATCATCATTAAGTTCTCAGTTACTTGCTCTGTGGGCACGAAACTGGATACAGATGTAACCAATATGTTACAGTTACAGTTCATTCTGTTTATTTCCTTTGTTAAAGGAAAATGTAAAAGATTTGTCTGTAAACATGTTTTATTAGGCAAACCTTACGTTTTGACCGTTTAAATAAAAATTTCTCAGGCCCAGAAAAACTTATAATGTTCAAATGATCACATCCACACCCCCCTGCATGACCTTTATGTTGGTTGATAATATTAGCAGTTTAGGCCGTAGGCCTTTTTTGGAAATTAGCCCTGTTGTTTAAGAAAGAAAAAACAAAAGAAATTTAACTTGATTTATGTCATTATACATTGCTTTGTAACTAGTGAAACAGTTTCCAATAAATACTGTTAGAAGAAAAGGAGGGACTCAAGAATCTGCCAGACCCGTCGTACATTTCGCTGTCCAGATATGATTGCATAGCTTGCCTCAAAGACCTGTATTCCCAAATTAGCAAAACTTTAGAAATACTTAACCCTTTAAATAAAAGTCTTACATAAATAGATCACCACATCAATGGCATGTTAGTAAGCAAAAACAAATCCACAAAATGCAGACCTTAATTTTTTACATCATAAAAAATTCACATTATTTATTGTTTGTATATTGAAAAGATGTCAAACGATTTTTTAAATTTAATAAAGTCCAAGTTTAATATAAATAATAAAATATTCTTCAAGGTTTACGGGTCTGATGTACCAATCACCAAACATTTATAGTCTCAAGATGATGTTAGATAACATCTTTTACAAACATCAAAAATGTATTTCATACATATCTTATAACTACTATGTTTATTTAAATGAATATAGCATATCCTTAAATTAGCATCTGATTCAGAGCAAAAATACAATAATTCTATTTTTATAAGCTATAACTCGGTAATAAGGTGTTTTTAATCCTGTATGAATTTGTTTTACACTAGGTTGTCTTTCAGTTGGTCAAATAACAAATTGTTTCTTTAAGTTAATGCTGATCCATTTGCTTTCGTTAAATCATTGCTTTAAAATATAATTTCTTGTATCTTCATAATAATTCTCAGCTGAGTGTTCACATTGAAACGTTCTAATAGAAGATTTATCAAACTGTAAATTGGTTTAATAGTTGTTATATCATAACTATCATCCAACTAAATAAAAATAACATGTTTATTTTTTTAGGATCAGATGAAATCAACATTTTCCTGCTGGGAAAAACTGGTATTGGGAAGAGCAGCCTGGGAAATACCATCCTGGGAGACAGTCTGTTTAAAGGAAAAACATCTCCTACATCTGAAACAGATATGGGCCAAGCAGAAAGAAAATACATCAATGGGGTACCTATCAAAGTGATCGACACTCCTGGCTTCGTTGGCAACACCATGGATGAAGAAAGGCTAAAGCGTGAGATAATACACAGTGTCAAACTGTGTGAAGGCAAGATTGATGCCATTCTTATTGTGCTGAGAGTGGATCGATACACAGCCCAGGAGAAGGAAATCATCAAGCAAATAGAGCAGTGTTTCTCAGAGGAGGCTCTGAAACGCGCTGTGGTTGTGTTTACGCATGGAGACCAACTGGAAGATGGGATGACAATTGAGGATTTTGTTGAAAAGGATTCTGATCTGAAAAAGTTTGTAGAGAGGTGTGGCGGCAGATGCCACGTTCTTGATAGCAAATACTGGAAAGAAAAGCAGGAAGGTTACAGGAGCAACAAGTTTCAGATGGAGCAGCTTCTCAACACAATAAAAACAATGAAAAACAGCCAGGGCTCCTACACCAATCTGCTTCTTGAGTTAGTGGGGGAAGAAGAAGGCAATGGGGGAAAGGGGCCGAATTCGATCATCTTAGCTGGAGTCAAAGTGGGAGTATTGCTGGGAGCAATTTTTGGTGCTTATATGGTTGTGCCTTGTACAGTGGCTTCAGCAGCAAAAATAGCTGTGGGTGGAGCAGTAATTGGAGGTGCAGTAGGGGGAGCTGTAGCTTCAGTTGGGCAAATTATTAAGATAAGAGGTATTTCATTTTATATAACCGAAAGTAAAAAAAAATGTTGAGGGGTCAAATAAAAGAAACCTACAACTGCAAGATACAGAGTACAGGAGATGTAATTTTAATGTTTTAGTCATTTGTCTTCATGGAGATCTATAGCTGTAGATAAAGAACAAAAGTTAAACCAAACAAAACTTGAGAAAAAAGCAGTAATATCAATGTGTAATCCTCATTTTATTATTTTTGAAGTGTTTGTGTATGAGTTTGATACAATGAGGCTCTTTGTCCATATTATTAATTAGCATTTGAAGAAGACTGGTTTTAGAACCATTTTGTTAATTTAATTTTAAATCTCTTATCTCTGATGGTATGTGGGATAAAAAAATGATTTTGCTCAAACCATG